GCATCTCACCACATTTAAGAATCACCACAACTTACACAAGTCCTTTAAACAAGCTGCCGCAGGTGCTTAAGTTTCCTTTTTACTTTCGTCCGAAGGTCACAACCTTAGTCCTCAAGTCATCTATCAGACGGGATTTTCTTAAGTGAAAATCTAACCTTATACTTTGCTTCATCTTTCCATCCATTGTATTTGTAATACAAAATGAGTGTTAGATATAAATACCAAGATGGTGTGGCCTTCTCTTTGGTCGCAGTCTTCTTTAGCTTTATAGCGTTTGTTCGACCTCATTTTCGCAACTTGGTTGGAGCGTCAGGGAGGCCTTATGGAATATACCTAGTACTGTGTCCTCTGCCATAGTATTCGTGATGTCCAGCATCGAACTATTGATTTGGCACATTCCCAAACGTTTTGCCGGCATCGTCAAATACAACTTGTTGGGCGCAACTTATTTGTGTCCCTTTCTTAACTTAGCTGCACACACAAGTAACAAACACTCTTTATCCTCCTACCAGATATATTCTCTTGAATATATAAACAGACGACTTGTTCCACAGCTCAGCATTTTTATCCTGTTTACGAAAGGTATTCACCCTTTTTCGTTTAAGGGGATAAGAGGACTGGTAATTAAATTTTCCCACAATGATGTGAGTTAACCTTACGTTTCCATTGAATTGCACATACTCGTAATCAACTCCCCTTAGTTTCCTTCTAGATATCTCTCCTTGATTCACAGAATATATAAATAGATTACTCGTTCTGTAGCCCGACGTTATTTATCCTCACCACTTCTGATTAATCATAGCCATACTGTCGATTGGCTCTGAGAGAACAAGGAGAGCCATATTTTGACAGTACCAGACTTTGATAAAGCTAACTCTTTCAATCAGCAATTCTATGCTGCCCCAGCACTTCACTGTGACAGCTTGCACTTTCCATCCTGGCTCCTTACTTACTTTTGACTCTATAGACACAGTTTATAAATACTCCCCAACAAGGGGTCAGATCACAAGGGATTTATGGTTTTGTATTAGATCGCTTTGAATTGAGTTTAGCTTTTGACATGGTTCAGGCTTGCATATACTGTTCAATATGCCTTCACATCTTGTTCTCCCCTCCTTGTTGAAGCTATTCATCCCTCCCTGGAGCCAGTTAAGCAAGAAAGAGGTGAATCTCTTTCCCTCATCAGTTCTGACCAGACTCAAACAATATCATTATCCAGCGCACTTGAGAGGCCGGACAACAACAGTACTCCCAGCTCTCCCGTCTTCACGTCTATCTCATCTAACTCTCCTCTTTCTGTAGCTGCATCTTTGCCTGCATCTTCCCTCCAAACTCGACATCATCATCTCCTGCTCAGCAACCAAGTGGCTATCAAACTCGAGTCGCCGGACCCCACTGAGCCGCTGTTGGCAAATAAAGTTACAACTTCGGGCTGCTCTGGTACCGGGACTATTGGAGATATGAGTGGTGCGATGGAGCATGTTACGATCCCAGTGGGATTGGCCTTAACACCACTTGACATAAATCCCTTAAAGCCGGGCTTTTCCACAAATAGCTGTTGTACTGTTTCAGTAGATGACCTGTCGGAATACGGCGCATTGCCTTCGTAAGTGAAAACTATGAAAAACTTGGGCTATAATATGTAAATAGCAATACTCATTAGCTCATCTTTGATCCCGAGCCCAAGAAGTTAATGAACAAAGTGAGCTAAGTTATTTAAGTGCTGGACAGAAGATTTTTGCAACATAAACCATTTTTAACCGTAGCCTTCAAATCTTAAGTAAATTACTTAGTTTGGCACTACTAGAAATATCCCAAAAGTTTAACATTTGAGCGGCCCCTTTCATATGGCATTCTCACGGCTTAGTAACCCTGGTACTACATAATACTATGCAGTATATAAATTTTGCGTTATATTTTGTTGCATATTCATTAATCTATTCATGTATTTTCCTTCAAATTTATTTTTATTTCTCTCGACTTTCTAGGGATTAGTTGGTAATGTTGATGTATTTAAATAAAATGTTGATACTAAAATAAATAATTTTAATGACATAAAGACCAAGGTGATGTGGCCTTTGGTATGGTCGCAGCCTCATTTCGATGTATCTAAGTGGGCTTACCTCGTTTTCACAACTTAGCCGTGTTTTCTCTTTGACGAGTTGTAGTTTGGTGCTGAGAATGGTAAGACTCGCTGACGATGCCGGTGAAACGTCTTGGAATGCACTAAGTCCACGGTTCAACGCTGAGAATTATAATTACTATAGTAAGAGAATTTGGGACAAGATGCGTCAAAAGTCCTCCTGAAAACACAAAGTTGTGAAAATGAGGTTAGCCCACTTCTTAATAATTCTGAATTTGAGAAACTTGCCTAAATTAACTATATTGTTGTTGGCATACTATTTACTTCGTTTAGAATGTCTGCCTCTGGCTCTGACTGTAAGGAACTCTATTAAATTCGCTTTGCCGCGTTGTGGAGTTAAAATTTTTTATCCGTGTGGATTATCAAGTTTTTTAGGATGCAAGAATTTTTCTTGTAATACTCGGGATTAAACGAGTTTTATCGACCTAATGCTTCTTTGGGACTTGGAATAATGAGTTTCAACACTGATGATGTCCATCATATGATGGACAAAGGCTGAGCTAGTCTTTGTCTGAAACTAAGGAGCATGTCTCCTGAACTCCGTCAACGACCGTAAAACAACGTGAATCGGCCATCGTCTTCTAATGAATTTAGCCAAGTAATCCCTTCATGCGCCTTCATACGAAATAAAAGTATCAGCAACATTATTATCTTGAGAGATTTATATAAACCCAGCTACCATTCGTATCTGCAACATTTATGAGGTGGTTAGCTAAGTTGAATAGCTCAGATATGAGCGCGAATGGACTAGCTATGGGGTCATGTTTAGCCCAGATGTTTACAAGAATCACTCTTGTATCTCAGACATTTGTAAAAGGGAGAGTAATTTTAAATTCGCAACACAGCAAAGGAAATTTCCTAGATTTTCTAAGCTTACTAAGTAGGACTAATGAAGTCATTGCATTCATTCTGGAGTTTAAAACGACAACCACATCTCTTTTCCTGACGCTATAGCTAATAATGAAGCAATCAGTAGACATAGCTTACCATAACTGGGAATTGGAGAAGAGTCAAGGGAATTTAACTGCAAGGCGACGCTTTACTGGGATCATCTGACAACTATTATGCAGCAATAAGAAGTAGGATGAGGGGGAACATCTACTTGGAGCAAGACGGAAATGCCGACAACTACTAATATCCTGACTTTAACTCCGAGCTGATAAGAAATCGGCGCATACAAACGGTCTGTAGGGATGAGATGGTACTTTAAATCTTTCCTCCATTTCAAGAACTCTGTGACCCTTTTTCTGAATCGGTTCTCTTCTTACGCGAGGGGGGGGGAATTTTGCCGTCTTATAACTAAGAGATTATCTGGGCCTCAAACGGTCTACAAAGACATATGGGTTTATAGGTATGAATTAGCTCAAGCCAATATAAAGCACCAGTCAATGCCATCAAATTCAACGTTTGTCAGAATATGGAGAGTAAGACCATGGATTCATTGAAATTAATAAGGTGGTAAACCGTTTTACTCAATTAAATGTGTATGAAATTGACTAAGATTAGTCTCGGAAAAGAGGAGGCTTAGGGTAAGCAAATGCCGTTTACTTAGGATAAAGACTTAATCTATACTTATCTTGATCGTAGAAAAATCCCAAACTCAAGTTTATTATCAATACTCTAAAGCAGACTACTTTTGGCTTCCGATCATACTAGCATACTAATAGTTCCCTCCATCCTTTCATGTCAAATAACTTAGAGCTAGGCTCGCTAAAGGTGATCTCATTTATTTATAGGCTTACTCAGCACGAAATCCAACCCTATAGTAATGTGGAAATTCAGTGTCCCACTTTTAATACTGTTTTTCTCACCAAATTAACTCCACCAATAAGGTATGAAAACCAAGATAGTGTGGCCTTCTGATGGTCGTTGTTTCCTTTCGTTGTATAGAAATTGTTTGACCTTGTTTTCGCAACTTGGTAATATTGGTTAGAAGACCTAGAGGAGCAAACCTAGTCCAGAAATTAGTATGCATACTATGGACCCCAGACTAGGTGCGTTCCCTATGTCTTCCTCCCCATCAATAAGCCTTATTGAAAGCCATTTACCTATGCATAAACTATTGTATATATTTGAATTCAATTAAGTTTTCAATAAGTTTATCTTATTTAAATTCAAGAGTCATCGAACCCACTACATCACCTATTATTCCTTCTGACATGACTAGAGGGCTGGAACATCACTCCTCTGGAATTCTAGCACAAAGTCGTCTGACTCCTGAAGAATCATCTGTTATTTCTATCTCAGGTTCCGACTTGGTCAACATAGGTGCAGTGCCGATGAACACGGGTATGTTTCTCTACTTTGGCTTGACGATACCTACACTTGAAAGGTGAAATCCTTGCTCTTTATTTATCCTTTTTATAACGATGAAACTTTTTGTCAAATCCTTATTTAATTTACCCAACGATATCTTTAAATAATTGTAAATTCCATATTGAAAGGCTGTCATAGGCGTCCTACCGATCTCCGACCACAATTATTAGAGTATATTTAAATTAAAATTTACACATTCTTGTGCTTTGTTTGACTCCGTTTATTAGTCTGAATCGAAGGCCGATGTTGCTTGTGTAAATACAACTTTTTGATTAGTAACAATATTTTGTTTCTATGGCTAGTAGTTCTTCTCGGTGGACTTATTATTTCCCCTCGAAAAAGTTTAATTGTGAGTATGACAGCCTAAAAAAAAGAATAATAGAGGCGGGATTTAGTGTAAAAGGCCTATCACCCAGTTTCCTGCCAAAATAACGCAACATTTTCAGCCAAATGTTATGCTGACGTCCTTACGTATTATGAGTTTTCCTAGTGTCGTAGCATCAAAAAGCAACCTTCGATACTACTTATCGAGAGAAATTTTTCTCTAATCAACATAATACTATGAAACATTATAGTCAAGTCACCAAAACTTGGGTGATTCGGACTGAAGAATTCCCATTCATCGAACATATTATTCAGATTTTTTATCAACTGGTTATCTTTGCAAAGCTTACCGATGGCTAAAAAATTAATCTAATTTTGGGGCCAATTGCTCCTTAAGTTTATTTTTTGCCTCCAGCCCAACGCCAATTTTCCAGGATGTTTTTAAATTCGCACTGCATTAGCGTACATTTGCAATCATTAATGAGGTGGTTCTGTTTCTGCTACAATCTCAAGTATCTTATTGGCAGAACAAAAATGTAATTTTTTGAAGCTTCATTTCATTTTTAGCTCAATCTTTCATTAATTTCGCAGATACCCATTCAGACATGCTGTTCATATACCACC